TTTCTAACTTCCACATTCAACATGAATGATCTTCGACTAGTTGACACACTTTTGAGGATATGATCAAAGTAAAACGAAATAGTGGGGATTATGAACTTAGTCAAATACATTATGTTGATAAAATAAAATACTTATATTTCAAGGAAGTTAGTACTCCATTTGATCCTGATGTTAAACTTCAAAAGAATGATGGAAGAGTTGTGGCTCAATTGAAATATGCAAGTGTATGCAATGTACTAGACCTGACATAGCATTTACAAATTAGTAAAATGAGTAGATTTTACTAGCAATCCAAATGATGAGAAATGGAAGTCCATTATTAGGATTTTCATATATCTTATAAAAAACAAAAATCTTGGTATCCGTTATGGTAGATTTCCTGCCATATTAGAAGGATATACCGATGGGAGTTGGATATCGAGTATTGAATATCATAAATCTGCATTTGGGTAGATATTTACACTAGTCTGGGGTGCAATTTCTTGGAAGAGCAAGAAATAAATGTGAATCATTCTCTCAACCATAGAATCAGAGTTTGAGTCTTTTGCTTCCGTCGGTGAAGAAGTTGAAGGTTTAAGGGACCTTCTGTTGGAAGTTTAATTGACTAAAGATAATGTTTCAAAGGTGTTGATACATTGCGGTAGTCATGTCATTTTACCTTGAGCATACAAAAAAATGTATAACATAAAATTTAGGTAAGTAGGACTTAGACATCCTTGTTGGTTTGAATATGGAGTCATTTGTCTAGAAGAGGGTTGAATAGACAATTAAAAAATCTCTTCTTTTCAAAAAATCAGATTACGCAAGCGGAAATGGATATGGTGAAAACTCGTTTTGAAAAGGTTTGTAATGATATTGGAAGAAGATTTATGCTATACTTACACCAAAGGTTTGTAATGTGGTAAAATGCAATGTATTGATTAATGGTTAAAGTTTCAACAAGATGCTTAAAGACTTTAACTATTCTTTAATTTGAATGGCAATTCTAATTTCAATTCTCACACAATAATCAATTAACAGGATCCTTTAGAAGAACAAATCTAATCAAACCTAAATTTTTCCAAATCAAGACTGTGAATGCAATGAATCTAAATATATACCCCAAGTATGTAATTTTAAACGATAAAGAGAGAGAGGGAGAGAAGGAGAGAGTGCACCAGGATATATACTAGTTCGGTGCTATCGTCCTCGCACGCACCTACATCTAGTCTTCAACAGAGAACCATCAAAGAGTTCTTTCTTCCATTAAAATGATATAAAACCCGGCTCGTGTTACAACAATTCAGAAAAGCAAAAGAAAAACTATAATAATCCAATCTATCTTCTTACATGCTTCTTGTAAAAACTCGTTTGTAACTAGCTACCACCACTAACTTTGGTCTTTACCCAAGATCTTGATTTTCAACTTTTGGTAGATTCCTATCTTGATGAATTTCTCAATCTTCACACAATCTTGAAATTCCAAACCTTGAATCCTTCTCTTTAACAAGTTGACAAATCCACAGAAAAACTCCACAACAATGGAGAAAAACTTCTTCTTCTTTTTCCTTCAAGAAGTTTCAACCCTTGAAATTTCCAAGATCAAAATACCTCTTGCAAAAATATACACACGTCAATGAACAATTAGATCCCTAATGTTTCCCTACGATTAATCATCACACACATACAAGAGAATGATTTCCATGGGTATGATTAAGATGAAGATTTGAGAGAGAGAGAGAGAGAGAGAGAGAGAGAGAGAGAGAGAGAGAGAGAGAGAGAGAGAGAGAGAGAGAGAGAGAGAGAGAGAGAGAGAGAGAGAGAGAGAGAGAGAGAGAGAGAGAGAGAGAGAGAGAGAGAGAAAAGTTGTGTTTGCAAAGGTTTTCTAACTGAAAAAATTTTGATCTCTTATGAAATGAGGAAATAAAACTCATATTTATAGGTGCTAGAGAAAATTCACAATTAATGAGTAAAAATGAACTACATGAATCAATTCATACTTTTCATGACTCAATTCAGTTAGGGCAGTTGACCTGAGTCGAATCTAAAAAGAATTAATTCAAATTACCATCCTAAATTAAGTCGCGACCCTGACTGAATCAATTCAATTTGGAATTTCCAGACCTCTGACTCAATTCAAAACTGCTTTTAACTCAATTCTCACAAACAGAATCAAAATCAACTTTTGAGACACTTACATGAATCGATTCATGAAAGCCTTGACTCAAGTCAGAAGACAAAAAAAACTTTGAATTAAGTCAGGAAAGCTTCTGAATCAATTCAAACATCTATGACAACTAGTCAACTTAACAAATGCATGGACAACCTTCTTTAGCATGTATTTGATGATTAATAAACAAAGAAACTCAAATTAAATAATAACCATAAAAAAAGCATCAAAATAACGAAATAATTGATATCCTGGTAAAGGGAAATTTCAATTCTTTCGTGAGAAAATTGATTAAGGGTGTAATCATTTCATTCACATATTACGATCGAGCTATAATTTGTTTGATCCAGTTACTAAATCACTGGATAGAGATTTAGTAAAGACAACCTCGAGAGGCATGCAGTTGAAACTCCTTGAGTAAGAGTTTCGACAGTGTCAGCAACCCAATCTTACCTTAACAGAACATTAACCTCAAGATTTAATGGATAACAACAAGTAGTTGATTTGAATGTTTGTCGAATATTTCATGATAATGTTGACCTTTAGAATCAAAGTTCAAGACTCTTGTTTTTATCGGTGAAGAAGCTAAATGGTTGAGGGACATTTTGTTGAAAGTTTCATTGGCTAAAGAGAATGCTTCAAAGGTGTTGATACATTGCGGTAGTCAAGCCACTTTACCTTGAGCATAAAAAAAATATATAACAGAAAATCTAGGTAAGTATGACTTAGACATTCTTTCGTGAGAAAATTTATTAAGGATGAATCATTTCATTCACATATATACAATCGAGCTATAATTTTCTTGATCCATTTACTAAATCACTGGCCAAAGATTTAGTGAAAACAACCTCGAGAGGCATAGAGTTCCGACAGCGGAAGCAACCCAATTCAACGGGTAACAACAAGTCGTTGATTTGGATGTTTGTTGAACATTTCGTGATAATGTTGATCTTAAAAATGAGGGTTGAGTTTTTATTTAAACTCTTAATGAAGTTCAATACCGAGGGTATGTGTCTCATGGAAAAAGATACAATATGAACTTCACCTATGTGAATTTTGAGATGGTGTCGTCTCAAAGTGAGAGTTGGAGTTTCTCTCGTGAAAAATTCACGAAAACAGGAAAAACATATGGCCATAAATAGTGCTAGACGAGAGATGCAGGCAAAAAAACCACTAAAGAGTATGTGTAAGATAACGTCGGTTTAATCACAAAGGATAAGGGTTCTAAGTATTGCTACCCAACATTCTGATTAGACTTTGCATTATCCTCACTAAGGTTAAGTTCAAATCAAAAGATACTTAAATGTATTAACATTCTTTGTTTCTCTTTTTCTGGAATTGATTTTGTCATTATTATAATAAGTGGGAGATTGTTGTAAATTATTAAGAATTAATAATCTTGAATATGTTTCAAAATGACAAGAAAAATGTGCAAGTGAAGATTAATTTTATATCCAGAAATAGGCAACACTTCACAAGTATTACAGTAGGTTTGAATTCGAAAATAGGCAACATTAATATGGCTTATAAATACTTCATTCTGAATTTAAAAAAATATAACAAAAACAAACATTCTCTTCACTAAAATTTCATATACTCTTTCCTACATTCGAGTTTTCCTCTGTCTTGTGCAAACTCGAGTATAGGCTGAATTATCCTATGTATTCTTGTGTTTCAACTCTAAGAAATTTAAAAATGCTTGAAATACTTATAAAGAAAGTGATTTCGTTCACGATTTTAGTCTCGTTTCAATTGATTTAAATTAATTTTTCTATAAAAAAAATAGGGATAAATATTGAACGGTAAATAATTATAATAATGACAAGATTAAAACCATTATTATTGCATAAAAGTAATATAACTCCTATAGTAAATTGTAATGAAAATGGAAAGGTATCTTTATGATCTCATTCTTAATGACAAAAAAAATTTAAATGTTTCAATTTTAATAAAAATTATAAACATTGATTTATTATAAATAGGCTTTATCTACATTAATCACATATAAAAATACACTTTATTTTAAAAGAAAAACATATATTTATAAGTTGACAGTGATGTCCTGAATTTAATTTTGTAAATTTAAATAATTCTCAACTTTTAAAAATATATTAATATATATATATATATATATATATATATATATATATATATATATATATATATATATATATATATATATATATATGTATATATATATATATATATAAAATATTAAAATATGATTTGACACAAATAAATTTAAAATGTTAATGCGAGAATGTGTTTCTAATTTAATATATATAAATAGATTAGATGTTAATTGCGTGTTTCTGATTTTATATGTTATAAATTGATTAAATGTAGATATATTTACAAAAATAAAGTAATAAAACATTTGAGTCATTTAAGAAAAAGGGTTGTTAAGAGAAAACTACCGATCACCGACAAAATAGTATTGAAACATGACAAAACAGTATTGGAAGATGTTAGTACCGATTCCGTCATTCAATTTTTTATGAAAAAAAAAAAAGTTGTGATTGATTCACACAACAATGACTATAATTAGTATTGATCGAAATCGCAAAAATCTTTATGTGACCCATGCATGTATTTAAAACTAGCAATGAATAAACCTTGAAGAACCCAAGTTACAAGATTCTGTGGTCTGCAATGCACAATAATTAAACTTGAATTATTTTCATTGACTAAACAACAATCAGCCAAAAGTTTTAAAAGGTAACAAATAAGTTGATACATGAAAACTTTTACTACCAACTTGAAAACAAAGATTAGTAGTACTATTTTACAAAGAAAATTGCTTATTATTTGTGGAAGATATTTGTTGACAGAAGCAAAAGAGTGAGTTATCTTATGGTGTTTGCAGATTAGAATATTCAGACTCCGAGGATGTCCTGTTCTTAAACTCAGGATGTTTAATTTCCTCTATCATTCTAACAGCTTCATCCATTCTCGGCCTCATATCGGGCGTCTTACCGACACACGCAAGAGCAATCTGAAGCATCTGAACCATTTCCTCCTCTACATATTGTCCTCTAAGAAGTTCTTCATCAAATACTTCAGCTGTCCACTCCTCTCTCACAACGGACTTAACCCATCTCGGAAGATCGACAACATCTTCATAACCAGGATATCTCAGTGGAGTCTTTCCTGTTAGCATTTCAAGTAGCAGCACGCCGAAGCTGTAGACGTCGGACTTCTGCGTGATCTTTTTGGAATCGGTTACCTCTGGTGCTCGGTATCCGTTTGCTCTAGACATTGTTGCTGGCGCGTTCATCAGAGGAGGGAGTCCAACATCAGAAATGCAGCTATCGAGTTCTTGTGTTATTAGTACATTGGTTGATTTTATGTTTCCGTGTGTAAATTTTGAACCTCCTTCTGAGTGAATGAAAGCAATTCCCTTAGCTGTTCCGAGTGCGACTTTTACTCTTGAATCCCAATCAAATGGTGTTCTTCCTGCGCCTTTGTTTCCTATTGTTTGGAGCAATACAATCATGCAATACAATTAAGCACTTATCAAATAAATGCTTATGTATAAGTTTTTTCTATAACAAATGATAAAATAAAGTTAAGTTGTTTTCATAAGTTATCCAGAAGAGTTTATGGAAGTAAGTTGAAAACAGCTGATGAACATGTGGTAAGTTGTTTCCATAAGTTTTTTATGTCAAAAAAATAAGCTACAATAAATCAATCCAAACAGGCTTATTAAAGCATACACTACAAATGACAGAGGTGAATGCATGCATGTGTGATCTAGCTTAAAATTTAGAAAAACTTACCATGCAACAAGAAAAACAAGCTGCCTCCTGGCATGTAATTGTAAACCAAAAGTTTCTCGTCTTTCGAATAGTAATAAGCTCTAAGCGGCATAACATTAGGGTGGCGTCCGAATCTCCCGACGATATCCAACTGTTGTTCAAACTCCTTCTTTCCAACCACAACTTCCTTCAACCTTTTAACCACCATTGTCACCCCCTCCTCCAAAACCGCCTTGTACGCTGTACCGTAGCTCCCTTTACCGAGAACTTCAGCTGAAGCTTTTAGTAGATCTTCAAGGTCAAAGGTATATGAAGAACCTTCAAAGAAAAACAACTTGTTCTTTTCAGCAGCCTGCACTCCGCTTCCAAAACTCTTCGAAACTTCGGTCTTTCCAGCACAAGAAGAAGCTTTTCCTTTCAGTATGCCGCTTCTTTTATTGTTTTTCTTCTTCAAGAAGCATACAAAGAACACTAACACCAGTAGAGATAGTAAGGCGATTCCTCCAATGACTAGAGCAAGTATAGCTGCTATGCCAAAGCTTTTCTTACGGGCCGTCGTATCTTTTTGGTTTTGCGTGAGTGCGGGAGAAGGAGATGGAGAAGGAGAGATTGAAGAGCAATTACTGAGAAGAGGTGGACCGCATAAGAGAGAGTTTCCAAGAAAAGAAGTAGACGGGAATGTTTTGATGGAATTTGGAATCGAACCGTTCAAGTTATTATTGCTCAAATTCAAGTATCTGAGACTTGGGAGGTTGAAGTCGGGGATAGGACCAGATATAGAATTGTTTTGGAGATTAAACCAAGTGAGTCTTCTCAGGTTCTGAAACTCAGATGGTATAATACCAGAGAAGGAGTTAAAGGAAATATCGAAAACGACTAGTTTAGGAGAGACGGAAGAAGGAATTAAACCTGAGAAGTTGTTTTTCTGCAGATGTGCGAATTGGAGTGAAGGAATGGAAAGGATGTTAGAAGGAAGATTCCCTCTAAGACCATTGGAATGAAGGCTTAGAACTCTAAGAGAGTCTAGTTTTCCTATAGTGTTCTCCGGAATCGAACCAGTTAATCCGATTCCTGGAAGATGGATGCCTACAACACGAGTTCGGTTTGAGTTGCACGTCACACCAGTCCATGAGGTGCAAATTGAAGACGAGTCATTCCAGTTGAGCCTTGGTGCGTGTGGAACAGAAGAAGCAAACTCCAATAGAGCTTGTTGGTCCGAGTTCAAGTCAGAAGCTGCTACAATCAAGCTAAAAAGAGACAGTGATGCGATTAATAGAACAAGAGCAGCATTAGAGAATTTCAACTTCATGTCTTGTTTGATGAGAAATCAAGGCTAGTCACTAGTGATCGTTCCGAGTTCTGAGCTTAACCGTTCTTCATCCTTTCCTGGTTTTGTTTTGCAAAGTACAACAAGTTATTAGTTGGTCATGGAGCTATGAATCTATAACAGTTTAAACTAACTAGTTTTTATTCAGACAAATATAGAAGCACTTTTGCATGAATCTAACCTAAGAACAGAATTCAAACAAAAAAGTAGCAAGCTTACAGAATGATTATTGAGCAATATGAACCGATTTTTTCTCGGAAAATTTGAAAGTAAGAAATGTTTTTGTTCTCGGATGACATCACTTATTGCAGCTTTTTCTTAGAAACAAAAAATAAAATAAAATAGACGATCTTATTCATACTTACCGTTGAGGAGGTTTTCAAGGAAAGAGAACTCCTTCTGGCAGATGCATAAGTTTATGACGCATTTTCATTATTTCAATGCTTGAAGTGTTATGCTGACTCTTCCATTTAAAAAGAAAAAGAAAAAAGCCAAAGGTTTTGGCTGTGAACTTTAAATTTTGAGGGACTAAAGTACATTTTTCATGTAGAATAAAGAAATCATATCACAAATTGGTGCTTATATGTTTCAGCAACAACCAAATAAAAGCACTGTGATAATTGAGAATCCAAGAAAAAATAGAACTAGAAAAGAAAAAGCAAAAGTTTGATTCTCCTTTGTACTTTATAAAGAAAAAGCACTCTTTAAAAAAAGTGGATTGTATAATGTATTCTTCTAATTTTAAAAAGATGAACATAAATCATTGGTGTTGATTTCTCAACGTTGCCACCATATATCTGGTCAGTGAATACTGCAGAAAGGTCACTTAGAAATACTCAAACCTATTTGATGAACCAACTTCATCCGACACGTAAACAAACAAAAGATAATTATTAAAGATATATTGCATTAAACAACTCAAAGCAAGCATCAAAGACAACTTGTTAATTATCTATTCCATTGAAGGAAAGCAAAAAACAAAAGATTTTTCCATCATCCCGAGATATAAATACGCGCACACAATATTCCAAACTATGAAGAAAGAGATAAAAACTTCTTATGGCCAAGATAATTGTTTCAAGTTAGGGACTTCTAGTAATCAAATTGGAAATTTGACAGCAGTGAGAGAGATATTACCTTGGCATGAAATTCAGCTTTAGGACACAAATAACACATCATAGAGTGAAGCATCACATCACAAAAAAGAGCAAAGAGATATCATTGTGGTCAAGAATAAAGCATCACAACAGTACTAAACTTTAGTACATTGAAAAACATTAGCATTATGAACAAGGTTAGTTTCTCTTAAAGATACTGAACCGTTAGAGTTGGTGGCAGAAAAAAGTCCATAACTATAATGACAGCAATAATAATTGGAGTTTAAGATCAAAGTCTTTAATATAAGTTACTCGTAGCAGTGTAATAATGTTGATTTGATATTGAAAATGGTGCGGCATAAAAGGAAGGAACAGTGGATGGATCTAATCTAATAGTATGAAAAGAAGTACCAAGAGTAGAGGCACATAAATGAGAATTTGATGACATGCCAATGAGGTCCCAACTAACCCTTTATCACCCCATGATTATTGCACTCAACAAGACTCAAACTTTAACTCTTTTATTTCTATCTAAAGTAAAATACCAAAACTTTGGCTAGTGAGTGACATATGGGTCTGTCAGAACTTACATGAGCAACTGTCTCAATAGTTATGATGGAGATGGAAACCTTTCACAGAGTGAGTAATTAGTAGTTACAGACTTCAAAAAGAGGACAATCATTGTGTTTTGATTTCATATTTACCGGAAAAATTCATCGCAATGGTCCCTACATGAGGATAAAAACCGAACTGCACTGGATTCTGTTCATATCTTATAGACCATATACAGTCTGTTATTTATGAATAAGTTATGAAGGACTGGTTCGGCTCAAAAGTCAAAACAGACCTATTTTTGTTAACTAGCAATCAATATCATTAATCAACAGATGCAACACATACCATAGTCTATTGATCAATAACTTCGTTTCAACCAAAATTTAAATTCGAATATGCACAGTTGATTTTGCTATTGTGGTTTGACCGATCACAAACTGTCAGTTGAGCATAAACTGAACATTCAAAATTGGCACATATTGCCTAGGTTGGTGAGAGGAGAGGGACTAGACCAAAATGGGACCAACCACATAATGAGCTATTCATATAAGCACAAAGAAGGTAGTTGGCTGTTGCATATAATATAGGTAGGCTGTCACTTATATTTCATTATTTCGACATTAACCATCTCTGGCACTTTCTCTGTTTGGATTTTTGAAAATAGAACATTAAGTTTACGTTTTTGGTTTTATGTTTCAAGGAGTTGTTTTCCTCTTGGCTTATATTCCATGATAAGGATGAAGTCTCAAGATTATTTCATGACGAGACTTGTGAAAGAGAGAAGATTAACCGAGTTTGCTGATAATGATCATTTTATAAGCTAGGACAAAATAATTTATTCAACCAAAAAAACAATTTATCAAATCAGTCTTTGACACTCGGCATTCGCCTGCACTTATTAATGCTTTACTAATTAACCATGTCATAGACAAGGATTGTACACTCAAGACAAGGCAACATAGAAACCAACAGACGGTTGAGTCGGTTTTAACGTATGTTGATACCTGTCATCTTTATTGTATCCACTTTGGTTCAGATAAACTCAGCAATTGGTGTTACAAGATACTGTAAGCCTTGGAAAAACTCAAATTGATACAAAATTAATTTGTTCTAAACAACAAAAACAACTCTTGTGATCAACAAGAGAAGAAGCCGAAAGAAAAACATCATGGATGATTACTTGTTATCACTACTATTTTCAACCTTTTCAATTTCTTCACGGATCTTTCGTTCGGCCTCCTGACGTTCTCTTTCAGCATCCTCCTCTTCCTCAATCTCGTCAAGATCATCAAATTCTTTGGTTGCTGCCATTGCTTTCACTACAGGGTCTCTAAGCACAGATATCAGTCCCCCACCAACTCTGTACTCTTCTTCATCCCCAATCAGATACAGACGCTGGTCTGGGCCAGATGCCATGGGAACATCAACGGCTAGCAGCTTCATATCATACTGCATATGAAAATAACAGGAAAGGCGGAGTAAGCAAACCTTGAAGCATGAATTACCCCTCGGCATTATACATTTCTTTTCCTCTAGGAAATCATTTTAGCTAATATTTCACACATACTCCCTCCATTCCTATTTATAAGCAAATTTTAACATTTTAGATTCATTAAGTAATTAATGCATTTAACCTATGTATAGTCCAAATACATCATTTATTGAATGAACCTAGGAAGTCAAAATTTGCTTATAAAAGAGAATGGAGGGAGTAATAATTATTCTTGCATTATATATTTCTTTCCTGTGTTATATCACACACACATACACACCTGCGAAGGAAGAGAGGATGAAAATTAAAATAAACAAAAAAAGAAAAAGACAATTCTCTCCCAAAGTCTCATAAGGTGATATAGACAGCATGCGAGTTTCAAAGTTATATCAATACATAAAGAGAGAAAATTAAAAAAGATTATTGAAAGATTCCTCCTCTTTAGCAAATTTGTCAAAAATCATAATTGTTGTTTTAAAAAAATTGAGCCACTTTGAAGGGCTATAAGCACGGGTGGGTGGAGGGACGATTTTAGAGGTTGTTACTTGTTATTCTGCTGCTTTATATCATGCCAAAGATAATGCCCAATTCAACAAATTTTGATTACGGCTCAAGCAAATTCACTTCAGATAGAATGCCAAATTCAGAGACGGTTACCCCTCCCAATTTCCACTCCAAAACCAAAGGAATAACTATGAGTTGGAATCAAAAGTACAAGCTCTGCACCCACTGCAAACCCCTCGGACCATTCATCTATGGTGCAAACCTCCATGGTCATCCTCCTCATGCACCTGCAAATCTGAACAACCACTCACAAATTGACTACTAACATCCCTCTCCGCCGTCTGTCATCAACTTATGGTTTCTTCGTCAACCTCTGTCTCACGAATAGGTATTTCCTTTCCAAAGAGGGAACGAAAACAATTTGGGAGAGAATTGTCTTTTTTTGTTTTTTTTTTATTTTCAGTCTCCCAGACGTGAGATTAATTTACTGGTTGAGATTTAATGTTGTAGAGTGAAGGAGGGGTTAATTGGGGCAGAGGATCTGGATCCAGGAAAGACAAACAATCAAAGAATAAGTAGGAAGTGAATTATTGAAAAATTAAGAGAAAATGAATGGAAGTCTCCCCAAGGGTTCTTCTTACACGAACAATATCAAATGTACAGGACTATATTTGCTATCCTTCTTTCTCCTATTTATACATGACGTCCCTCTAATTAACAAACTACCCTAACTACTTTAACCCACTTTCATTCTTTACCCTAACAATGTACTATTTAACTCTAAATCTCTCCTAATATAACAGGTTCCTTTAATCTTCCTCCACCTCTACCTATTGGAAATGGAATCCTCCTTAACAAACAACGAAAATGAACAAGTAACATAAAAGAATCAACAAAGCAAAGTAGCTCAATCCCTCAGCAAAGTGTTATACAAATTGGCCCAAACCGACTGGAAAACGGCTCGCTGGTTTTTGTGGTTAAACTGGTGACCTGTTTATAAATTCTGTACAAGTTTGCATTACCTATAATAGTATAAACAAGTGCAAACAAAATCACAAATTATTCCAATGAAATTACAACAAAAAAAAAAGTTATTACAACAACAACCAAGTCTTATTTCACTTAGTGGGGTCGGCTACATGGATCATACGACATCATAATGTTCTATCAAATATCATACTTCCTAACTCATTAATTTATAGCTCTTTAATAATAGCTTTTCTTTTAGTTTTTCCTAGGTCATCCTCTAACTCTAGCGGTTTGACTACACTCATCTGATCTACTCTCCTTATTAATAAATACTAATTTTGCTAGGTGGTTATTTATTCTCTTATTAATAAATATTCTTAGAATTTTGGGTTGGTCTAACTCGACTTTATAAAACCGGGTTGTAAGGTGAAGGTTGCCAAACCTTTGTAAACATTACACAAGTCGTATCTCTAAACAATGTCAGACTAAATTCTCCCCTTCATACTCAACACAATGAAGGTGTTGGAGGCTCCAATGAAGGAAATTGACATGCAATTAGATGGCTAGGGGTAGACTGCAATGAAGTTGGAATTTCCAACACACGCCCCTCACGCTCGAGCCCTAATGAGCCTGAAGAGTGGACAATACGGGAATCCCAACAACAAATCTAGGATAAACTCAGATACTAGCTTAGAATTTTGGGTTGTGACTAACTCCACCTTTTAAACCGGCTAGTAAGGTGAGGGTTGTCTGAGCTTTATAAACACTACACGGGCCATATTTCTAGGCAATGTAGGACGAAATCCACCCGTTCACACCCAATATAATGAAGGTGTGGGAGGTTGCAATGAATGCAACACAAATGCCGCAGTTAGACGGCTAGGGGAAGACCGCAATGAAGGTGGAATTTTCAACAATTATAAACAGTGTTCTATATTAGAACCATGAAGTTAAAATAAACTATGAACATCTATTGAAGTATAGTATGAATTTTTAGAGCATTAATTTTTATATTTTTTTTAAGTATGCAACTTTATAAGATAAATGGATTCATGTGACTCATTGGTTCGACCAGTACCCTCAACAAGTCAGTGATTGGTCCAAGTTTAATAACATTGCCTCCTCTTATATGTAAAGGCAATGTTGCAGAAGAAAACTATAAGATATAATATCATTCATGAGCTCTCAACTAACAATAGTTAGATCATGACATGGGATCATATGCCAAATATAAGCTAAGCCTCTAATAAAGCCTATATCAGCTTTAATGTCAAAGAAACTTCCTTAAAATATGATCATTATGCTCCAATGAAATGTACCAAAAGGAACACTATTGATCACATAATGCCTAAAAGACTTAAACTCGTTGCTATGTTCATTAAAGAATATGCAGTATATTAGTATCTTACAATCATAGGCAACACCCCACCCTATCCAATCAAGCCATGTTTTGCACAGGAACCACCCGAATATGTAATTTCATGTGCTCACATATGTGAGCAAACCCTATTTTAAAGTAGCATACAACCGTATCAATCTATAGATTTACAATATATATTTAAAAGTAAAAACACCCTTCAAAAATGTTAGCACTTGTGCTTTCTGTACATGACCAGAGTTTGATAGTCGGTGTGTTTTCATTTGAATATTTGCATATATCCTAGTTTAGGAAGTTTATTACTCACGACCACTCATAGTCCAAACACAATACTGATGTGGTTATTTTAAGAATTAGGAGGGCATAATTCTGGGGGGCAACCATTCAGCAGATATGAATGTTTCCAAGAAAACAAAGTTAAGACTAGCAAACAAATCTCATAATACAGGTAAAACAAAATATGTACAAAAGTTTACAATTTTACTAGAATTTAATGGAGAATGGAAATATGGCGTGAAGCAGAACATAAGATACAACAAATTTTAGTGTAAGACAAAAACTTCAATCAAGTAATTAATGATATAAACAAGAGGGGCCTTAATTTACCTTGCCCTGCTTTTTCTTGACTTCGACATTGACTAGACCCTTTCTCTCAGAACCTTTTATGGGGAAAATGAGAAAACAACGTCGGCTCCTAAGACTTGGTTTGATTTTCTTTAATGTAAGGCTACCCCCTGACATCACATAGGCTCTTAAATCAGTTCCTGTAAGAGGGGCACCCATAACTTCAAGAATCTCAGCAGATGTGTTAAGTCTTGTCATGGCCATTCTATAAACTTTATCAGGGTTGATTGTGAACCTCGAGCGGATATACAAACCCTTAAAGGTGTTAAATATGAAACAATTAGACAACAATCCATATATCAATGCAGAATTCACTAATAACAATAACTGGTTCCACCAGAAGCAATCCGCCTATACCTCAAACAGAAAACTCACAATTTTCATATCAATCTAAACAAAAACATTATTGAAATAGATATTATCCCAATTCACATAAAATTCACAATACATAATCAGAAATAGTGTATAGCCTAATGCACATAAAAGTACTATTGCAAATTGCTGATCATGAAAAATATCGGTTTATTCAAATTCCGCTACACTACAACACAATAGCACCTCTATAGCCGTTAATTTGTTATCACAAGAATAAAAATTTGCATTCAAATATTGAAATTGGAAATGAAGGAAAGGAACTTACAGTAAAAGCAACAATAGCAGAAGAAAGGGCAAGGAAGCCATACTTAGCCATTCCTTCAGAAAGTACAACAAAAGTATTAGCAACGCCAAAGAGAATCCTCCATAGAAGAGCACAGAAAACAACTCCAGCAGCACCGAACAGAAAAAGTTGATTTCTCTTGAAGAAAGCCTCAAGCTGCAAAACCATGGCCTCACGGTAACGCGAGAAAGCAGATGTCAACGCGGCCGCAGGTTTATCAAAAACCTTCTTGGCATTGAAGCCGAGGTTAGGTGACTTTGAGGAGAAGAATCTGAAAGCGCCGAAACGGGTGGCAGAAGGGTAGAAAATCGGTGATGAGTGGAGAAAGGAAGAGAGTGTGGATTTAGGGTGAGGTGCGAATAGTGAAGATGATGAAGAGTGGTGAAGTGGAGGAGGAGATGTGGAAGTGAAGGGTTTGCGGAGAAAAAGTTGGTGGAGTTGGGTGATTCTTTGGGAACAACCACCGCATCTTCCTCTTGACATTTGCATTTCCGATCTGCGATGGGAACCGACCGCCGCTGCCGCCGCGAATGGTAGTTACAGTCGGATCGGGGCGTTCGTCGCTAAAAATGATAATTTATTCGTCAATTGCGTGTCATTGTTGTCTTCCCGGTAGCTAGGTAACGCAAGAACAATCAGTTGAGGCAAAGAGACACACCTTCTCTTAACAACATTGCATAACAAGAGAATATGTATCCAAAAAAAAAAGTTTATTTTTTTATTAATTGATTTTATAAAATTAAATTTAGTTATAAGCAAATTTAAGAGAAAATCATTTAAAAAATTTGATGAATAAAAGTTGTTCGGCAAGCAAACTAAAAATGATCGGTGAGGTGAGATTTTAGATAGGTGGAATAAGTTCTAGTGCAGCGAAGAGGAGACTGATGTACTATAAAGTTTGCACTCCAACATTAAATATGTGGGAGAATAAGGAGTAATGTGAGCTTAAGAATGAATTTGAATCGTATCTTTTTTTTTCACGTCAAGCACTTTATATATGAAAGTTGGTTAAGGTGTCTCGTGTTTCACGGCTTGGAATGTGGGATATTGTTAGATGATATTTAATGGTGGTCTATATATGAAAGTTGGTTAAGGTGTCTCGTGTTTCACGGCTTGGAATGTGGGATATTGTTAGATGATATTTAATGGTGGTCAGAGATCTATGGTTTTGATAAGCTGTAGGACTTTACAGCATGTGTTGGACTATACATCCCTCGTTCTGGCGGAATGAGTGATTGGGTCTTTCTCTTATTGTTTGGGCAGTCTAGAACAGTTGCCCCCAAGAATTCTCATGGCATAGCAGCAGGAAGTCTTTCATAAATTGGGTCAGGCTCTTCGTACCGGGATCGTTACTTAGAGAAGTGGAAGAGGTTTGGGAGCCGATGTGAGTAACCTAACATATGCATTCAATGTTAGTCTCATCATGAAAATATTTCACATGATCTTTCTGATACATGGCCCTAGGTTTTTAGACTAGAGTGTGACGCTTCGTCCTATAATTCTCAAGTGTACTCAAATGTTCCCGATGTGAAGTCCAACCTTTTTCCATCTCCCCATTTTCTTTCATCGTGGATCATTTATTAGTTTGTCTTTGTCCCTTATATCAAGGTCACTTAGTATTTCAAACGCCTTTTTAACTTTTTGCGCAAACCATAAGCTTTTTCACTTTAAGAACAACAATGATTGTGTTAAGCTTCTCTTTCTCCAGAAGTAGAACATTTATGGTCTTCTTTTGTTTAGCTTCTCTTAAGAAAGATTCTTTCTATTGAGTAACCAGAAGTCTATATGTTTCAGGTAATTCCTCCTCTGAGATGTCTTCATTGCAGGACTCACTATGTATGTCATATTTTCCAGTGAAAGCCATAATTTGACTAGAAATTTCTTCTTCACTTCCATCATCAGACCAAGCAATTGAAAATCTCTTTTGTTGTCTTCTTAGAAAGGTATGACATTCAATTTTAATGTGACCAAACCCTTCACATTTAAAGCATTTGACTTATTGACCTTGGTTGAGTTTTTTATCATAGACATTTTTCATCCACTTCCTGCCTAGGTTCTTTAGGAAATTATTGAACTTTCTCCCAATATAAGTTATAGTATCTGATATGTTTTATTCAGTATCCTTTTCACTTTGATCTTCATTCTCTTGAGTTTTGGATACAAACACCACATATCTGTTCTTCTTTTCTGATCTTCCATTTATAACAACTTCAAGGGTTTGAAGAGAGCCAATAAGTTCATCAACCTTCAATATGCTTAAATCTTGAGTTTCCTCAATAGTTGTTACCTTCATGTCAAATTTCTGAGGCAAGGATCTGAAAATCTTTCTGACCAACTTTTCTTCTGAAATTTTTTCTCCCAATGCAAAAAAATTGTTTGCTATGTCACACAATCTAATGTTAAACTCATATATGGATTCATCATCCAACATTCTCAAATTCTCAAACTTGGTTGTGAGGAGTTGCAACCTTGAGATCTTAACCTTGGATGTGCCTTCATGAGAAGTATTGAGAATATCTTAAACATCTTTGGCTATAGTATAATTATTGATTAGTTTAAACATGTTCTTGTTCACGCCATTGATATAGCATTCAAGACTTTATCATTTCCCATGGCTTCATCATCTTCTCTTTGGACCAATAAGCTTTAGGACTTAAATTTGTTGAGCCATCTTCAAACGTGATCACAGGATGTTTCTAACCTGTAACCACAACCTTCCAAGTTTTGTTGTCTATGGATTTAATAAAACCAACACCTTAGCTTTCCAATAATCAGAATTTGTGTCATATAAAATATGAGCTTTATTGGCAGACTCTCCCTCCTTAGTGGTGTCCATTTGAACAAAAAATCTCTTACTTGGAGCCCACCCAAATAGAACAGGGTGCCCGCTCTGATTTCGATTGAAATTTTATTCCTCAGGGGGCAGATGTTGGACCTGATGTTAAGACCACTTGTCCAACTTCTAATAATATTTTAAGACCAAATTAATAGTAATGATACAACAATAATAAGCAATGCAGAAAGCTATAAAACAACACAAGGTATTGGAAACCATGTTCGGTGAAACCACACCTACGCCTATGGGGGAACTCTACCCAAGAAAGGAAAATCACTACTTCGAATTAGAACAGTTAGTCTTATAAGAATCTTCAACCCCTATGAGGTTTTATGCATCTCCCTAATCCTAATGACTTTCTATTTAGGTCTCCACCTAAATATGAGAACCCACTCACTTTCTTCGACCACTAAACACTAGTTGTCAATCTTAATAACAAGTATATTGATTGTTGAATTTACAACTCAACTAAGACGAACCAACTATCCCAAGTTACTAGAACACAATGGTGTACAGTATTAGATTCGACATTAATCCAATAATGGCATTAGCGTGAAATACAAGTAAGAAAAGACTCACAAACCCTAGACACAAAGAACTTAATCTTGTGTACAAAACCCCTTCTAAAACGTGAAAATTGAGTCTCCTTATACAACAATGTCTTTTAGGTTTTTCCCTTATGGATCTATGATATAAATTTGTCCATAATAATAGAGAATCTTGTTGGAATTGAATGTTCCATAAAACTCTCTGAAATATATTATTTGTTACATTCAAATTCAAATTCAAATATCCATTTAAATTTGATTTAATTTTCAACAGCTGTCAAATGAATCAACCATACATTGCTAACAAAATTGTAGCAAAACTGATTTGAAAACCAATCAAAAATTTTGCACCAAACAACATCCCTTATGGCCTACTTACAAAGTCAGATGTTGCACTACACATGCTAGAACATCGTGTTACACCAGTACATCCAAGTTAAGCCATCTCTATAACTTGTAGGTCTTTTGTGGTAGAGAGAACATTGGATAAAGAAATACTAAGCCAAACTATAATACCATATGTCTATTGCCAAAGACCTAATGTTAGAGCCTACATGTTGGAACATAGTGTCAAACATGTGTCCTTTCTGTACCATAACCAGATTGAACAAACTTCATGTTATTTTACATAATGCAACCTATCTCAAAAGGACCAACATAAACATTACAAGAAAACCCAAGCCATCAATTCTCCTCCTAACTTACCTTCTTCTTGACAGCATCATCCAACTGAAGGGTTTCATGTTCACCTCATGTTGTTACTCTACCCTCATCCTGGGTGTCCTTGGCAGGAGCAAAATCTTTAGGCTCTGAAGGGGTCATCTTCTCTTTATCCACTAGATGACCATCATGGACAGCTTTAAGGAAGTCCAATTTTCTCAAATCAAGCTTGAGATAGAGGAATTAAACTTGTTATTTTTCCCACTCAAAGTAAATGACAGAGGTCGACACCATCTCATTAGTAAACTTTTACATCTCTCCCTCCAACTCCTTTTTGGAAACCAAACGACATTTAGGTATTCTTGCAAGAATTTCTCCTTATTGGAGATCTCCTCAGCCTTGGCCTTCGTATCCACTAGTTTCTCCTCCTAGGTATCTTTGTCTTTATGAACGACTTTTAGTTACCTCTGGCTCTCATTATAAGTACCCACATACTTCTAGAGTTTCGCCTTCATCACCTTCTCAGCTTTATCTTGCCTATCCCACTCAACATCCTCCAGCATCAAAAATTTGCATTAAAGATGTGAATTCTTGCGTGTAATTGTCCTCGATAGCTCAAATCTCCAAATTCACGACATTTCTTCAAATCTTATGTTTAGAAACCTCTTCAAACCCTAAATTTATGTGAAATTATGTTCCTCATGGGACAGATTTTGAACACGATGCTTCAGGAACAGGGGCGATAAGATACACCATAAATAATACATGAACAAGTAATAGATGATGGAGGAAAAAAACAATAAAGAACACAATCAAATTGTTTCCCCAGTTCGGTGAAACTACACCTACGTCTGAAGGATTGAGTCCACGACCCAAGAAAGTAAATTAATTATTAGTAGCTTAGTACAATTAGACTTACAAGCAAAAAAAACATATGTTGTTCAATATCTCTTCCTAACTACCCAATGACTTTCTATTTAGAGCATCCCCTTGAATATGAGAACCTGTTCCCTTTCTTCTCTGCCACAATCCCACTGACAGGGAAAAACAACCATTAAACCCTGGTGATCAACTTCAATCTTCACAAGATAAAGAATGTTGAAAGTTACAACTTAAATATGCAAAACTTCTATGCCAAGTTACTGAAACATAGAGGTGTACACAAACAATGTTGATTACAACTCAACTAGACAAACATTATATTCCAAGTTACTGAAACATACAGGTGTACATAAAGATTCAACATTAATTCTCTAAGGACATTAGCGTGAATATACGACACAAAACCTAAACACTATAAGATCTTCAATTTGAGTGTTTATCTTCCAATGCAGTTTTTAATCTCTGTATACAACAATGTAACTCTAGGATTTTCTCCTTGGATAATATCTTTGAATTCACCTAGAATTAATGCAAAAATATGTTGGATATTTGATTTTCTCCTT